CCACCGCCGAAGCCCGGGGTGGTCCCCGACAGTGTCCGAAAACAAGCGCCGGCCAAAGACAACACGGCACTCTGATAGGAAGCCGGCGCCGCGATCGGAAAGGCCTGGGGTGGGACCGGGGTGACCGGCTGGCTGAGAGTGTCAGGCTGGTACTGACTGGACTGGATAGTTGTTAGACCATAACGTGTCCACTGTCGTTCCTAAATAGCGTGAATTTGGGAGGAAGTAACTGAAAGTTCGGCTTCTTCAAACTGCTGTGTAAAATACATAAGATAAAATATGGAGAAAATTTTGGGTACACTTTTGACGTGGACACACTGTATCTAGTTATGAAGTCAAAATTTTAAGCAGTGACCTAGAATAAAGCGTCCCAAGCCTGTAATCATCTTAGTGTAATTGTTCAGGTAGGTATCCTGCCCCCGCCCCTCCATGGGCTCCAACTAATCATTTCATATCCATTTGCAGGCGTAAATGTGTGATATGGTAGCAAGGTTACGAGTTGCAAAGCAATTTGCATACCTTACAGTCATAAATCAAAGGGTATGCTTCACTCATGACACAACACTGATTTATCGTTAATGTTAAAGCGCCTATGACTGCCAAACTCTATTCGATAACACATTCCAATTATTCTTCTTTTTTTGGCCAGACGCTTTTATAACATATCAGCGTGGGCCCAACAACAGCATGAAGCCACAAACTATAAGGGTTATATGCCATTTAGGAAATGTTTTGTTTTGGCAAAAAAAAATATTTCATTCCGCTTACATCTCTCATTCAGTTGCGGCAAGGAGTCATTTAGCCATTTTCTCCCGGAGCTGTGGTGAAATCTGCTCGAGTGAGGCGGTCGGCAATAAGAGGCCTGTAGTGTATACCCTGGGCTCTCTACCCTCGCTACTCTGTGAGTAATTATATTAGAGGTAATTACGCTTGGTGTGAGGTGTGCCAAGACTCGTAATTAGGTTACGTTCGTGTCTGGATTGTCAATGTGTTAGCAGCTTAGTGGCCTTCAGCTTTAGCAGCTCTCCATTGAACTAGAGCTGAGCAAGAGGCCTGGTGATACCGAGCTTGCGACTTCGATGAGCTTACGTCGGATCAAAAAAGGGAGGGCCTTCTCATTAATATAGTAATAAACACGTCTTCTGAAGCGCTGAAAGGGGCATGGGCATTTTAGAGCTGCTCATTTTTACGTGCTAGTTTTCACTCGATTTAGTACAAGAGATAACGCACTTTTTGGACACTTGGAGAGTAATTACCAGCCACCTTGATGAAGAGTTCCTGACATCTTTTCTTAACGAGCGACAGGCAGCAATTAAGCACCTTCTCTTGACGCGAGAAATGAAACATCTCAACACGTCCAGCATCATCATCAATGGCCCAAACGTAAAGAGTTTCATCTAGCCTCTGACGGCATTCCAATGGCCATAAAAATACGCCGCCGCCAAGCCAGTGGCCACCAATCACCCGGCTCAGTGGGGCATGAAAGGAGCCACGTCTGCAGTGGTCTAAACACTGCACGGCCGGCCAGAAAGGCCCCGCGGCTCGTGTGTATCATTAGTGACGGCACGAAGGCCGCGCCTTGTCGACCGCAGTACTCAGGTGATGAATGATATCGCGACGGAGACTCATATAGGGGTACCGCTTGCGACCCGGCCCGGCCAGAGCTGAGGGCTGATGGGGTGCAGACGGTATTAGGGTTGTAGAATGTGCGGTCGTTTAGTTTCATCATGATCTAACTGAATTCAGATTGACATCGGCGTTCTTGAGTCATCGGTATAGCAACATACAGCTCAGGTTGAGTCGAAGTATAATTTTTACATGTGTTTTAGCTGTGAGTGAAATTACAGCACCGATAAATCTCCACAGTGCAACTCGCAATTGATATGCAAACAAGATTACGTGAAATGGATACGACGTAAGCACTTACATATTCACTCCGAATCAAAGCCCGCATTGCTCAAATGCTCCAGACTCACTGCTATAAATACAGCTCGCCAACCATCCCTAAATTATCACCTGCGACGCAGTATACCGAGACGATGATTATCACAATCGTCGTAACACATCGCCTACAACACGCCTGCTGGAATCAAGACCTCGAGAAAAGGAACGCTAAACAGAGGAGGACCCGGGCTACTGCGTATGATGACACCGACGGCATGTCATTGTCGTCGGCGCCATCCTCGTCGTCATCGTCTTTGCTGATGGCGCTGGCGGAGGCGGCTGCGATAAAGGTAAAACTCATTTTTCATGAGTCCCCGCAGGGCCAGCGTGGGCTTGCGTGCCTGCCCCACCCGAACTAGGACGCCGGACGGTGCTGTGGGGGTTCGGGTGGGGGAGGCTATGCCGAATAGGTAGACGGGTCATGGGTGAAATGTAAACCTGGATCACTAAGGCTGTTTGAGATGTGAGGGTGCTGCGAAGCACAGGAAAGTGGTGTCGTCAAGTATAGAAATAAATAAATGGACAAATAGTTTATCGTTATCAAGTCATCTAAATTTTGCAACATGTGTCACGGTGGTCTGCCTAAGTTGAAAAGCGGCGACTTGACCTCGATGTGGATTATCAGCCCTGTCATAGTGAGGTGATATGAACTTCTCAATGTCCGGGCCTGTAAGCAATGATCGCATTTCATATAAACAGGGGCGGCCAGGTCAGCCGACTTGACCACCGCGCCGGTGCAGGAGCGGCCTGCATGACCGTTTCGGTCAACTTGAAATCCCAACTTTTCTTTCGCTCCCTTATGACCTATCGCGTGCCTCCTTTCACAGGGGCATTCCACGTCAAATCGAACAAAAATCGGCTGTTTTGCACCTTACCATCAGCGATTTCATTATAAATTTGTGAGCGAGTTCCTGTGTGGCCCCGGACATTACACTGATGTTTTTTGCACATTCTGACCACAGGTCTTCTAAATATAGGGCATCAAATTTTTACAAAATGTTGCATCTTTATATTTTTGAACGACCATAACTTTGGTTGTACTTGTTTGATTTGAATGAAATAAACCTTACTGTTTAGGTAATTTCTTAAGCATTTGTTTAGAATTGCACCTACTTAAATATATGACCTTGAAATTTGCTTAACTCTGTTCTTAAGCACAAATATTGAAATAGCAAAAAACACGTCACCTTCGATTTGGCTCATTTTCATATATTTTATTGCCTACCATATTCTTAACAACCTGTGAAAAAATTAGAGTGGGCCATTCATAAGTTTTGAAGAAAATTGCACATATGCAAACGTATGTTAGCACGCGCAGTGGAGGGGGAAGAGCGAATTTCGCCCACCCCTCCTGTTTTTCGCCAATATCTCATAAGATTAATGCGAAATTGATTATGGCTACCTGTCAAGAATTGAATTGGACATCTCATCGTGCAAGCAATAAGAAAATCGGTTCACAACTGTTCTAGTAATAGCGGTGTAAAGTGAACATCCTGTCGCCGCAGCGACGCGGCGACTCGGCAGCCGGCGCCGACCGCTACGCGCCGCCTGAATTGTAGACTGTGCCGGGACGGAACGGAACGGTTCTGTCTTTACATCGCGCTCCCTACCGCTGATTACGTTCGATTCGCGTCAACTTTTGTGAGAAGACTGTACAGGCAATCTTATGGTGAAAGAATTTTGAAAATCGGTTGGTAAACAATTGAAATATGAACGTGTTAACACAAAATTGTGATTGCTGCGTTTCCCGCATCGGCCGAGCCCGCCTCAGCCGGCGACATGTTACTCTTAGCAGGCCTCTAACTGCCATATTTATTATTGGATAAACTAGAAATTCCCCATACATACTAAAAAATGTATGTTCTTTCGTATAGTGAAGATCAAAAGGCGTGAAGATATCGTTGCGTGATAATGTTTTCGTTGAATTTACTTCATGATGCATTTCCACACGGCTCAAAATTCACCGCAAAATACCGTTTGCCTGCGACACTTTTACTATGGAGGCTGGAGCGTGAATGCTTGACTACGATGACTATGCATTTCCATTCTCGCAGAGTTTGGGATATCACTTATCAGCAATCATTCATTTCAGAAAGTGTACACAAGCAAGCATGTCTTGACTCTGTCTTTCAAGGTCACGCGCGGTTGCGTGATGTTGATGCATGAAAACGGCGTTTGCCGCGAAAGTTATGAATGGCCCACTCCAATTTTTTCACAGATGGTTAGGAACATTGTGACGGACATAATATGTAAAAATTACCCAAATCGAAGGTGACGTGTTTTTTGCTATTTAAATTTTTCTGTTTTAATTCAAGGTCAAATGCATTTCAAGGTCACTTCAATTTAATTTTATAATTAAAAATCAAAGCCTTATCAATTGCCTATAAGACCCTGTTAATATCATTTTGATACCAGAAAAGGAACCAGAGTTATAGCCATTTAAAAAATTGATGTGTGGCATTTTTCGCTATATTCGATGACCTATATCTCAGCGATACGTTATCAAATTTCGAAAATATTATACGTAACTCAGTTTTGAACCATGCCCAGTCTACCTACAAATTTTCAGAAAAATCGAAGGGGATGACGGATTTCGGTGTTTGATTTGACGTGGAATGCCCCCACACAAAACCTCCTGCACCGTATTCAGCGACTGGCACTGCTGACTCCCGCTACCATGGCTGTATAGAACTTCATCACAATAAAAACTCTAGTAGAACAATTGGGTCAGGTGCTTTGTGCCTCAGGTGGCTCATGGCTGCCTCAAATCCGCCACCGTATACCGATTCCGAGAGCCCCCAATGCCGGGACCACCTCGGCGACACGTTTCCCGACCGTCCTCCCCTCCTGTCCTCTCCCTCCCCCTCCTCCCCTCCCGTCTCGGTCATCGGCAGCGACAGCCGGGGGCGCTCGTGCCGTCGTCGGAGACCCTCCCAAACATCGTCACCGACGCCCTCCCCTCCCTTCCCCGTCGGAGGGATGAGGGGCCTGGGACGCACCTGTCCCGGGAGCGCGACAGAGGGCGCTGTGTTAGCGGGCTCCGGAGGAGGCTCCCTGGCGGAGCCGCCGAGCGCCGAGCGGCGGACGGGCAGAGGAGCCAGTGCGCGTGGCGGCCGGCCTCAGAGAGGTTGGAGCGTGGGCGGCGGGGGTGGACCACGGACCATAGACAACACGCTGACCAGGACAGTGGTCCATGGTGCTCGGACTGTTCGCGCTGGTGAGACGAGACGCGGCGTGAGGTGGTGTGACGTTACTACGACACTGCTGTGACGGTGTCACGCAGTTCAGAGAGTACCGACATCTCCAGTGATGTCTGCGATGCCGGTTACCACGCTGGCGCCAGTGTTGACCCTGCTCCTGTTGGGACCCGTGCCTGTGACAGAGTCGTACAATGTGGACGTTCAAAATAAGGTCGTCTACCGTGGTCCGGACGACGCCATGTTCGGTTTCAGCGTCAGCGGGTACACAGACCAGTACGGCAGCTGGTGAGTACAGGTCGGGTCAGGGTAGGTCAGGTCAGACGGGGTCAGGTCACGGTAGGCTCGGGTCATATCGCGTCGAGTCAGGGCATGTAGGTCAAATCGGGTCGGGTCATCTCGCGTCGGGTCAAGCTGCATCAGATTGAGTCGAGTCATATTGGGTTGGGTTCTGCAATATTAGGGCAGATCAGGTTGGGTCAGGTTCGGTCAAAAGAGGGTGGAATGTTTTGCGATTAGCGAAAATATGATTTTATAGGAGAGGTCAGGATAAATAAGGTCGCATGTGTGTAGTAACTTACCAGGCCGTGAATATTGAGCCAGTATTTGTTAGGTCAAATGCACATCCTGTCAGTCTTTTTCAAATGTTCCATGCTTCCAAAATAAAAAGTCAAGTTGAAATCATCCTGGCCGGTCAGGCTGATATTCTGGCTCGGCGTAGAAAATGGCTAAGATTGGAAAGATCAGTTCTCCACGTCATTTCTATAATGATCTCGGATACCACACTGTTCTTTATCAGTCTCTTGACATACTAGCCCATTGAGCTCGTAAAGTTAGCGACGAGAATCTTGTGTTGGTAAATTGATCCCGCAGCGTAGTTGGAGTATAAGTGCATAAAGCTAAGACAATCAATATAACAGACGCAATAATGCTAGCTACATATGCTTACAATATGCATAATGCAATAAGGATCCAAGGTGCATAACAATCCTCATATCACAAGAAGAGATATCACTTAGGAGTAACGAGGATCATGTAAGAGTAACAGCGGTGATCGTTTGTGAAATGTCGTGATATGATCTACCAGTAAATACCAGTTACTATACAACGAAGTACGTGGCTGCGAGAAAATTGCTATGCTAATTTTTTTTTTGTGGTTCGCCAACAAGCGTGATTAAGCACTTTAATATGTAGCATCTTGTATGCCCATTTGCAACGTAATTCAACAATTAATAAAAGGGCAGCTGACAATGTGGACATGTATATAACTAATGCTTAACCCGCGCCCCGTAGGGGGGGGGGGCCGAAACGGCCCCCCCGTGTCCTTTTCGGTCGATATCTCCTAAACGGCTGGAGATATCGCCACCAAACTTTCAGGACCTCTCCGGGCATCAATTTTACACATTGTGACCAAAATTTTTTCCAGAGGCTGTGATAGGTTGGCCACAAATGACGTCAGAGTGACGTCATGTTCTGTCATTTTCGACCGAAAAAAGACCTTCGCGAGAAGACCTGTCAGGCCTACAGCTTTGAAGATACAGAAAAATGATCAAGACATAAAAGGTGTAGAATTGACAGGGCTACAAAACTGCTATCTCGGGTTTTTGAAATTTTTGAGTTTTGATCCCCAAAAATCAAAAAAGCATTTTTTTGGATATATTAGCCAAAAAATCCAAAAAGTTTTTTGAGTTTCGAAAAAACCGGAATATATGTGATAGTACCTACCGTCTTCTATCTACATACCAAATTTCAGATCGATACCTCGTTTTTTGGCCAAGTTATAGCGAAAAAACTGTTCAAAAATGATGACGTCAAATTTTCAAACTCAATTTTTGGCAATTCTAGAACTCGTAGAGCAAAACAAAGACCACCATTAGACTCCCCGTGACGAGCTGCATCGAATGGATACCCATTTTATGCAAAAATATCAACTTTGAAATTTGACCTAATTTGACCTGACCTTGACCTGACCTTCACCAAAACGTGACCTAGGCTGGCCCCAAAGGCTGCCTAACCCACATAATCGCATTTGTCATGTAAAATGGACCATAAAACATGTATCACACGACACATTCATATTGTGACCCCCGGTGACCTGACCTCGCTGTGACCTGACCTGGTATCAGTGACCTCAGATAGCAAAGTATGTGTTTGACGAACAATATACCATCGATGGTTTTCAATAAATTACCAATTTACTCGATTTCACAGCACATTTCTTGAATTGCCTGTGAACGGTGAAAATCTGACCTTTGACCTGACCTGTGACGTCATCGGTTTGACCTAGGTCAATGAAATTTGGTCACAAGGTAGTTCCCGGGTAGGGCTATCAAACGCCGTTTGAATTTTGAAAATCGGCCGGTAACTTTCCGAGATCTTAGGGGGGGGGCCGAAACGGCCCCCCCCCCCCCTACGGGTGGTAGGGTCCGCCGGTAGCCCTATGGGGCGCGGGTTAAATATGTGAGTTTACCACACATTTTTTATCGTGGGCATCATTCACATGATCTCTTAAACATTGGCAGATCACGAGGGAGCGATTTTTGGGCTAGCTGATGCCCCCCCCCCCTTGCAGCGTCCAATACCACCTTTTCCTCCAGTGCCTCTGAAAGCATATTCGAACAGGCATAAATTAAATGCAATACGATAATAAATCAGGCATGATAAACATCTCATTTAAAAATGAAGAAGCATATAAACCGATCAAAACCAACTGTGTAATTGCGAGGCGCTTCAATCTTCAAATGCAGCCATTCACTTACGGTTAGCAGTTGTGCCCGAGACTCGCTCATAAAGAATAGTAAAAGCATGAGGATTGTGCAATGCTTCCAAATCGCCAGCCTCGAAATTCTAATTATTACTCACATAAGCCTTTCCATGGTCGTGTCGTAATAATTATGTACAGTTTCATTCTCTCGCTCAGCCTGTCACTTGGCTTTGGCTCCCCAAGGTGCCAAGTTCTGATCAACGAGGTCGTTTGCCCAGTTCAGCGAATCATGGTCTCATGTCTCCCAGGTTGCCAGAGTTTGCACCAGTTGTTGCAAAGCTACGATAATTATCACGGACCAGCCATTGCAATAATCACCCGTTGCACATTATCACTTACAACAGCGAGGTGCAGCAGCAAATCTGAGCACCACGAGCGTGTGGTGAGTTTGACTGATGAGTATTGATGGCCTTTGAAGAGGTGAGAACCAATCATGCGAGGTCGGCTGTTTAGCTTGGCTCTCGCGGCGGGAGATCAGATTGATTGGGTGCGATTTGGGACGCTGGGTGGTGGCCGGGGTTCGACGAAGGGGGCCTGATCTTCACACTGGGAGGCCGCCCCGGATTTCCGCCACAAGAGCTCACCACAATTTGCTGAGAGCGAATAGTGGAATGATGTTATGGAAGTTAAGATTTTATGAAAGCCATCTTGTTCTTCTCATCCCAATTTCACTTGAGGGATTGATTTACTGTACCAGTTTTATTTTTGCCGAAAGTAGTACAGTTTAGAGCAGTTATAAGCCCATCAATTATGAAATGATGTGCACTGAAATGGCGCCAGTCCGTGCTAAGCTAACAAAAAGTGTGACTGTTTAGATAAGAAATTATGAGAACCAATCATGGAATGCTTCAATGTGATAATTCCTTTCTGTGCTGCGCGTCTCAGCCTGATAACCGACTGAAAACATCTTCCTCACTTATCTTGAGATCAAAAGATCACAGCTCTCACAAATCGCCGTCGTGCCAAGTGACACCGTTTACTAATACCACGCGGCTCGCTCAGTCTCAGGGCGGCGCTACAAATCCACGGGGATCTGTCGTACCGGTCCCACGTCGCGTCGACGGTCTCGTCTTTACCACCCCCGCCCCGGGTCCTCCCTCCCTCCGCCTCGCCACTTCCGTCCCTCGTCCCCTGTATCGTATCCGTATTTTTAGTCGCCTAATTATAGCACCGATCGGGTGACATTTAGCCCTCTCCGGGACCGCTCTCCGGGTGCCATGCGTCGCTCCCGTCGAGCGCGTCTGTCGCGTCGGCCCCGACTCTCGGCGGCGTTGGTCGCGTCGGCGGAGCAGCCGTCTGTCTCGCCCTACCTCCTTTCTCACCCGGCGAGCGGGCCGGACCTGAGAAGGCCTGTGACGCTGTAATTATCTGTCCTCGGCGGGAAGCTGTCCCTGGTCAGTCAACCGGTAATGGCCTGGGGAGGGAGTCGATTATTGGTAGTGGTATCGGCCGACACCGGGTGCGGTCAGCCACTTCCGATAGACGCCGACGCCGTGAGAGAGACTGAGCGAGTTGGCAGCTATTGTAGCTGATTTCAGTTCTCAACATCATGTCGGTTAAAAGGAAAGTCTTGGATGCATATAATGGATTATGCATGCAATGCATCGCAGAAGTCGATCACGATGGAACATTGCAAACTGGTTTTTAACTAATTATATTTCAAACTTCTGATAATTTTAAGTACTTCGAAAAACAATTTTGACACGATGTCAAACACAGGGCGTCTCGACACTCATTCTCAGTAGCGATTTTCTGCTAAAGCTCTAGGTGGCAGGCTCGTTTTCCGTCCACCGCCGACGCTTTCACTGCGCCTGGCTCTGCTCTGACGAGAAGCACTATCACGCGGTCGCCGCCCCCGCCCTTCGGACGGAGACATGTCTCCAGTGCTCCCTTCCTTGGGCCGTCCGTACTGGTGCGGCACCCGCGGACCGTTACTGCCCAAATAGGAGCTCGTCAGCTGTGTTTTATCGGTATAATAATATTTGGCCGGCCGAACTCCAGGAGGCCAATAATCGCAGACAGCCCTGTCTGGAGGTAAAAACTGTTAGTATGGTGGGACAGTCACAGCTGCATAATTAGCACTTTTATCCTAAATTATGAAACTTTATTAGAGGCGTCCATCCCAATCAGCAATGGAAGGGTTTTCTTGAGAAAGGGTTGCAATGCGAACACATCAACAATTTTCATTTCCGCGACTTCTTTATGATAACCACCAATCCACAAATCAGCATGCGGAATGCTGCCACTCAGCTGTTAACGTCCATTCCGGAGCACCGGCATCCAAACTCACAGGCGGGCGCACTACGCGTGGCGATAACGGCGCAGCTGTGGTAGTCCCGGCGCTCCTCTGCGCGCCGTCTGCTGTTAGCGTCCTACTGATGGCCGGGGAGGCGCCGGATGAGCCCCGACCCCCACATCTGGAGCTCGTTAGGAGCGGGGGAAGGTTCCGGTGGTCTCCCGGTCAGTTAGGCCGACCGGGGCACCATCCCCAACAGGTGGTGACGGCCAAATGACTTCCCAGCCC